GCAGCTCGCCGAGCTGCGGACTCCCTGCAAGCTGCTGATATTTGTGTTGAGACCTCAGGCACAGATGCAGTGTCTGAAAAGATCAAAGAGGCTCAGGGTTCCTGTTTGTCTCCAAGACTATCCAGGGTGCTGTGCTCCCCAAAACACCTGGCATGGAAAGCAGCAGGAACTGATGAAAAGCCACGCAGAGCTGCGTGAGCAGATGGCCGCCTCTGCCCAGGTAGCTTCCTGCCTTTGTACCCCCGGCTGTGCTTTTACATGCAATGGAGGTGACGTCGCAGCTCCGCGAGCTTCAAGAGACGACAGCCACAGACCTGAGGCAACAAGTCGGAGAGCCTGCAGCCAAGCTGCCCCGCATTGCCCGTCGTCTTGCGGCCTCGTCACTTCGTCCCTTCGATTCGCTCCCAGGCTGAAGACCAGCTGCGAGAACGCCGTGGAGAAGGTCCAGACGGAGTGGAAAGACCACCTGACAGGCCAGGGGCTTCGAGGCTCCAGGCCCAGAGATCCCAGAGGCCCAGGCCAAGCCTTGTCCAGGACTGGAGAAGAGCTTCAAGCAGTTCAAAGCTGAGGCTCACAGCCAGGAGGAATCTGCTCAGAGGGACCTCTTTCACTCATTTCACACTTTGTCAAAGCGTCTCCTCAGGAGAGCCTGCAAAGCCTCCAGTCGCAGCTGGCACCGCTTCAGGCGCGGCGCGACCCGGATTCCCCTACCATGCTCGAGCGCCCCGCGTTGTCTCAGGCTGACGGCCCTGACGAGAAGTGGCTTCAGCTCCAACAGGACGGATTCCTTGCAACGACCGAGTTCAAAGAGAACGAACGCCACACAGGATGTGTCAGGGGAGCTCAAGGAACATCGGCACAGAACAGAGGAGAGCCAGAAGGACATGGATGGTTCACGCAGCGACGAGATACTTTCCTTCGTTGGTGTTGCGCCAGGAGTTGGCGTCTGAGCTACACCGATTGGTGGATCAGAGCAAGTCGGAGGTGAGGACAGAGCTTGCCAAAGCCTTGAAGGCAGGGCTGAAGACACCAGGGCACCATGGACCTTTGTTGCACATGATACTGCCAGGCTGTCCAAGGGCCTGAGCTGGAGCTACAGGAGATGCTGATCACAGCGAAGAAAGAGTTGAAGGGCGAGCTTGAAACTCTCCAGGACCGTGCAAGCCAGCGCAAGTCCAAGCCTACACGATCCCGACCTCACCATCTCTATCTTGAAAAGGATCTCCGCAGCAAGATGGAGGCAGCAGCTGCCGCAGACTCCAAGGTCCCGGAAATCCGTGGCCGAGACCTGAACAAGTGTCGTGCTGCAAGAAAGGTCGCTGGGGATCAGGCGACGGAGTTTCGGCATATCTTCGAGCAGCATGCAGCCCAACTGAAGTCCATGGAGGCGGTCCTTTGGAGAGTCGGCACAGTCTGTGCTCCTCGCATCTCGCAGGCTCAGCTGGAATGCCAGAAGACTCTCAAAGAGGAGCTCGACAGCGCCAAGGCGACATGCATATTGTTTGTGCGGATAAAAATGGTGAATGGCTGGTGTGGTTTTGCAAAGTGCAAATGCCAGGACCAAGTGGCCGAGCTGCAGAGTAGCACAAGCGTCGGAAGCTGAAAGAGAAGCGTGTGCGTGAATGATGAATGACCTGCTGGTGGCAGGCAACGAGTGTGCGTGTGTGTGTGTGTGTGCGCATGTTTTTCTACCACGGGTTTGGTCAACCTGTCGCAGCTCATCTACGTAGATCAATTCCAACCCTCCTGCGTGCCATCACCATCATCATGTATAGCCATGGTCACCAAATTGCTCGATGAGCCTTCTCTGCTCCTGCACGGCTGGAGTGGGCCAATTCGCAGCCGGGGTATGCGCCCGTCGGCGTACGGATGTGGGCCGTGTGCAGTCTTGAACTTCCAGACCGCTCGGCAACCTGCTTGTTGATGTCTCGTTCTGCTGTTTGTCCTTGCCTACAAGTTGCACAACACCTCGTGCGCATTCTCATGCTCACCAGCTTGTGATTTCAGGCGATGTGCACCAGCAGCGGCGTCTCGACAATCCAGAAGACCCACGTGTTCTCACGCACTTGTGCTTTGTGGCATGTTCCAACTGGCACCTAGAAGGCAATGTCAGAGGACACAAGATTCCTAGACCTGACCCATGCGGGGCTGTTGGGGACTCAGGTGCAGCAACGTGCTAGGAGTCGCGCTCCTCGAAAAGTGGAGGGAGGAGCGGCGTCGTTCAGACATTCAGACTTGCACCAGTCGCCCTTGGATGATTTGGATGTGGCCAGGACTCGATGCTCTCCAGCCCACTGGCAACCTCGGGCTTTCGGTGCGGCAAGAGGTAGAAGATCGCTTGGGCACATTGAGAGACAGGATGGCTGCCATCCGACACGGGGACAAAGCTGCCCTGCAAAGGAGTCACCGAAATGGCTCAGAGGCTTGGTCTTGGCATTTGAAGCCGATTTCTCTGTTTAGAAAATTAGAAGACAAGGTTTGGAGTGGTAGATCTACAAGGTTGGAGTCGGAAGTGTGCCAAGGAGCTTCATGGCTCAGTGCTCTGGTGCGACTCCGATCCGGAGGTGGCTTCCTGCGCTGACGTGCTCCGAGGATCCGGGCTGGCACTGCGCACCTTCACTGAACCTGAGGCTCGCTGGCTGCTGCTTTGCTGGCAGCTTCGGGTGATGTTGCCGTACAAGTAGGATAAGTAGGACATCATAGGATATCGTAGGGTCGTAGGACCTAGGACGTTAGCTGGGCGACGTGCCGCGGCACAGGCTTTGTTGGAGGCATACGATGCCTTTCCACAAGACGTGCTTTGCATCATGTCTTCCATGATGGAGGGCAACGGACGGAAGGAGCGCAGGCTCGTCGGTTCACGCAGGGCCTTGCCATGCAAGCGGACTGAATCGCAGCAAAGGAGCGTGGTGCCATGAATGCGTTCGGCCTTTTCTCTGCAATTCGCAGCCGGGTGAAGGCGACAGAAGGCTTGGAGCAGCCGCTCTTGGCAGTGATCTCTTGTTCTGCAGATGAAAATGCTGCTCGTGCAGCAGGCCGGTCGTCGAAATTCTTTCGGTGGTCTTTCACTTGTCTGCACCTGCGTTGGAGGTGCCGAAATTGTGGTGTTCGGCAGCCGGGCCAAGGCTCAAAATCTTGTCGCCCCTTAGCTGCAAGCCCACGACAGAAGCTCCCAGAAGCTCTGCCTGGCGACTCTTGGCTCGGAGGTCACCAGGCTGCGGAAATCTCGTGGACTCCAAGCGGGCTACGTCGGGAAGTGAGACGGGCAGATGCATGACGACGAAGACCTTTCCCTGAAGCAGGGTGAGTGAACTCATGACTCATGACTTTGCAAATCTTTGCAATATCTAGCTGTGCAGAGCTGCGAACCGCAAAGAGGAGGCCGAGAGAAACAGAGGAGAGCACCTACAGCCGTGTATCGTGATATACAGTGGCAGTCGTCCTGCGCCGAGGCTTTGAACATGCCGTCTGAGCGGATCGAGGCCCGTGCAGGTACTGGAGGTCTGACGCAGCAGGGTGTGCTTCGGATCCAGCTGCCACAGAATTGTCAGGCCACTAGGACTTCTCTGAACGCTTTGGAGCACGACGTGGCTGGCCTGAAGGTAGCGACCCTATGAGACCGTGGGGACACTCGGGCACAGACCTGCTCCCACGCCAGACCAAACTCAACGCCACTCCGGCATCGCAAGAGTCGGTGGAGGAGCTGAAGGTTGTCGTCAAAGGATTTCAGGCTGATTTCACACCTCATGTCTGGAATGTGTTCTGCTGCCTGAAGAGCAAATAGGAGTGCTGCACAGGATCGCTTGGAATCAACCGCCTTGAAAGATGAGGTCGGAGCCAGACGTATCATGCCAGCTTGTTCTTTCTGCAGCGAGGTGACCCATCTTTCCGAGCGTGTGAATGCGCTCATTGCGGCACAGTTCAAAAAGTCAGGATTGCTGCTCAGCTTCGTGCTGCTCCTCATACGCGTAGTGCAACAGCGTCATAATCTCATGTTGCCGAGTGAAGTGGGACATTAGGTGGCCAGAGGCAAGACCTGGAAGAGGAGTTTGAGAACCTGGCCGCAACCTTGCAACAGGATCGCTGAACGCAGACTGCGGGTTGTCTTGGTTGGCGCTTTCAGCCATCGAATCCCGTGAGGACGAAGAAGCAGAGTCTGTTGCCCACACCAGGCTACTCCTCGGCCTAGTTTGCACCTGATCTGCACCAATTGGACTCCAGAGCTTGGTTTTCGTGTCTCTTGGGAGGCTGCTGTTGAGAATCGACGAACTTTGTCGCAACATCTCGAAGGCAGTTTCAGCTGCGGCACTCTGCCTGGTCGACTCGTCGTTGCCTTCCGAGTGCAGGCCACCGACGGTGGGGCCAACGACTGGGTGGGCGCCTCTGGAGTTTGGTCAGGGGGAACCTCAACGACGTAAAGAGACACAGCCAGCTGTGAGGCCTCGAAGTTTGCCTCCTTGGCACATCAAGTTGAGGCTCATGCTGGGGGCCTGTGGCAGCTAACCTGAAGCCCTGCGCCTCGGAGGAGATGCAGAAAGCTGAGAAGCAAATGGAGGCCTGTCCGCAACGTGTCCAAACATCGCTTTTCATAGACAGCAGGGTTAGCGTCAACTTCCAATGCAAATCGCTGCCAGGTGCAGCTCGCGAGTTTTGTGCCCGCCCTGGAAGTTGAGTGCACGCGCAAAGTGTCGAGTGCATGCTCGGTGAGGTCTCGAAGCTTGCTTGAGCCACGCCTCGCCACCACACAGGAAAGCTGAAACGACGAAGCACGTCGCCTCAAGCCTTCGAAGTTCTGTGGACCGAAGCGGTTCCAAGAGCCGCCATAATTCGTGATTGAGAGAGTCTTGAGATTCCTCTCACACTGTACCTTATCTCGCTTTAGCTAGGAGCTTTGCACATAGCAAATGCGCGCCTCCACAATCTCCGAGATCTTGCAGTTGATGGGTTCTCATAATGGTTTCAATTTGCGCAGAAACATGCTGTGCTGTCGCCGCAAGCAGGCCATGCGAGACTTGTACCACGAGGTGAGCCAGCGTGTCGGAAGCTTAGCAGCGTAGGCCCCTACCACAAGGTCAAAGGCGATTGGCGTAGGACGTGCGAGACAGAGCAAGGTTAGTGAAGGCATAGGAGAGAGCGAACTTGCAGACTTGTTTGAATAATCGGTAGTTAGTCAGTAGAGAGTTTGCCAGTTCGTCAGTCAGTTGTTAGTTAGTCAGTCAGCTTTTGTTATTGTCCGTCAGTCAGGTAGTGAGTTAGCTAGATTCAGTTAGATTTCGTTAGATCGTATGTTTGTTGTGGTTCAGTTAGCTGGTTAGTTACTCAGTAAGTCTTACCTACTGGCCTACTCAGGGTGGCTATCTCTCACATCACTGCTTTTTGCTTATTGCTATTGCTGCAGCCCGGCTTTAATCTGGAAAGAAGCTGTGGGGGCCTCCAACTCCTTGTCTCCCTGCTGTCCTTGCTGGATGCCACTGGCTCTCCAGTAGGTTACCTTTCGCTTGTGGAGTTGCCTGTTCTCTGCCTTGCTTGCTTGTCGGTTGCTTGTGAGCCGTATTTCTTTGCAGAGCGGCTTTTTCTCATCACCGGCTTTTGTGCAACGAAGTTGACTTGACTAGCACCTCGAAAGCATGCATGGGTATCAATGAGGATAGACAGACAGACAGCCAAGCAGACAGACAGACAGACAAACAGATAGACAGGCAGATACACAGAGCCGGACACAGAGATGGACAAAGACAGATGAAGACAGAGGGAGACAGACAGACAGACAGGCAGGAGACAGGCAGACAGACCGACATACGGACACGAGCACACACACGCATACATACATACATACATGCATACATACATACATGCATGCATGCATGCATGCATGCATACATACATACATGCATACATATATAATTACTTACATATAAATGTTATATGTCAGGCGCAGATCCCCCAATATTGATAGACCACAAGGACGACCATGACGACCAGGACAAACAATACAACCATCACGACCAGCAGGAAATCATCAGGAGACCACCAGAGACCACCTAGACACCAGAGAGCCTCACACCACCGGAGAGGCCAAAATGCTTCCCTCCCGAAGTGGGGGGCATAGGCGCGACCTCTCCCCCCGATGTACAGGCGGGATTCAGGAGCATGGCCGACATGCTTCCCACAAGTACAGGCAAGATTCAGACCAACATCCCTAAACCCTAAACCCTAAACCCTGAACCCTAAAGTACATACTGTATTGAGGCACGAGGCCGATGCGATGGACTAGATCTGGCTTTCCAGCGGACGGGGCTCCACGGATCCTGCAGAAATAGCAGGACGTGAGTGTGGAACGTATGCACTGCATCGCAGTGGGAGCATGTGGAGCGGCGTTTATGAGGAACCTCCAGTCACAGGCATGCTAGGGCAACCGAGTCATTACCCCGAGCGCTGGAACCACACAGTGTATAGCACGGTATTACGACAACATACATACATTGACATGCGTGCATGCATGCATGCATCCACGTAGGCTGCCACTCCTTGTGTGGGTATGCGATTGCAGGGTCTAGGGTTTGTGCATTTTTGTGGTTTCGGGGCATAGGGTTGAGGGTTTGCGCTTCGACAACTGCTGTTTGGGGCTTGGACTGCTGTGCGTAGGGGCTTCAGGGTTTTAGGGTTTTCGAGTTTGGGATCTGGGGTTGCGACCTTGGCCCTACTGCTGCTGTTCGTAGAGGTTTCAGGCTGAAAGGGATTCAGGTTTGCGATTGTTGTTCGTACGGCCGTTGGGGTGTCAGGGTATCGCATTTATGGTTTAGGGGGTCGGGGGTGGGTTTGGGGTCTGAGTTTTGAGGGCTTTAGCTTGCTCTTCATAGGGCGGGTGCCGCAAATATTTATATATATATATATATACATATACATAACATGCCTGACTTACCTACCCAACAAACCTATTTATCTATCTGTCTAGCTAGCTATCCCCCTCTTTACGTGTCTGGCTGGCTGGCTGGCTGGCTGGCTGGCTGGCTGGCTGGCTGCCTGGCTGGCTGGCTGGCTGGCTGGCTGTCTGTCTGTCTGTCTGTCCGTCTCTCTCTCTCTCTCGCTCTCTCTCTCTCTCTCTCTCTCTCGCTCGCTCTCTCTCTCACTCAAAGACTTCGCATGAAAGCAGTTGTTCTGCACGTATCCTTGCGTGCCGAGGCTCAGCCTTGGAACGAAGAGGACGACAACCCATGGGAGGCAGAGCCAGTAGGCTCTTAGCATCTTGCAGAACCGCTTTGACGGTTTCTGGCACAGGATGTCTCAGTGAGCGATGCGATGGCACATCCTAGGTGGGCCTGTCTGTGATGCTGGAAGCTGTTGCCACATGACATGATGGTTGAGCTTGTCGGACGTGTTTGTGTGTGTGTGTGTGTCTGTGTGTTTACGGGCCCCTTTTTTTCTCCAAGGTTGGCTCTGGTCTCTTTGGTAGGGTTGGCCCAGGTCCCCTGGTCCCCTGGACCTTTGGTCCCTGGTCCCCTGATCTCCTGTTTCCTGGTCCTGCGCGTCCCCAACCCTCTCGGTTTCCTTTTTAGCCGTGCAGCGACTCGTCCGGGTCGCGCGCCACAGGCCGCGGCCCGTTAAAAGTTGGGGGAGGGTTTAGCAGTTTAGGAAATGTGCAGAATCGGAATTGGTCAATGACGGGGCGTGTTTAAGATATCTGATGAGGGGGCGTCTGTAAGGCATGTGAGGAAGCTGGATCGCCAATGCTGGGGCTTGTTTAAGATGTATGATGAACCGTTCTCACCCAATGGGGGGAGGCGTGTGTGTTTAAGACGTGTGATGAGCCGGAATCGGCACATCAGGAGCGTGTTTAAGCTATATTACGAAGAACCGGAAGCGCCACAGGAGGGGGCGGGTTGAAGACATATGATGAACCGGAATCGGCACATGAGGAGCGTGTTTAAGTTATATTATGATGAACCGGAAGAGCCACAGGAGGGGGCGTGTTGAAGATATGTAATGAAACGGAATCGCCACATGAGAGGAGTGTTTAAGATATATTATGATGAACCGGAATCGCCAGAGCAGGGGGCCGTGTTGAAGGTGTATTATGAACCGGAGTCGCCACGTGAAGGGGCGAGTTTAAGATGTATGATGAACCGGAATCGACACCTGATTTGGCTTGCTTTAGAAACATGATGAACCGGAAAGCCTCCGCAAGTTGTAATCCAATTTCCCCATAGCTTGAATTTGTAATCCCCCAATAGCTTGGGGGAAAACAGGGCCCTGCAAATTGTAATTTTCCAATAGCTTGATGCAAAACAGGAGCAAATGCTGCAGTTTACAGTATTTGCAACCAAAAAAGGGAGCCAATGTTAGCAAAGGATACGGGGGACGCCAGCGTTAGGAAAACAAACCCTCCGCAGCGTTAGGAAAAAAACCCTTCGCCGTGTGCTTTGCGGGTCAAGTCGCCTTGACGATGCAGGATCGATCAGGCAGGCACCTTAGACTGGCTGCCGCAGGCATAGGTAGGGTCAGAAGAGTAGAGTGCTCGAAGAGTTCAGCCGCGAATCACATCATACCATCGCCGTGTCGCCGAGCGAGGGCACAAGCACGACTACGGCATCGCCGTGCACGGCACATGCCGCTTCTGAGGAGGATTGGCAGGACATGCCGCTTCTTCGTCACAGTGCAAGTGCCACACCGGGAAGAATCTTCCTGTGTTAGAGGAGCTGAACTCCAGCAGCATCACTCTCCTCTGTCCATCTCAAGCTACTGCGAACCAGTCGCTCGGAGAGCCAAGCGCCTGCATGGCAACTGTTCCGAGCGACGCTGGGACACTGGTCGATGCGAGTCTATCGCCGTGCCAGGACGAAGCTGGTGCGTGTTCATGCTGGCAGGTTGTTCGAGTCATGTACCGTACAAGACAAGTCACCGAAGAAAGAGAGAACAATGAGCCATCGCAAGGCACTTCGGAACGGCGCGAGCCGGAAAAGACAGGAGCCACCGCAGGCTCTGTTAGCTCAGCCTTTCTGCCGCGGGGCGTGAGAAGAACGAACCGGAGTGTATTGGCCTCCGACTTTTCAAAATCAAGGCAACATGGATCGTGCAGAAGATTGCAGAAGTACGAATATCTTCTGCTGACCCAGCAGCCACTACATGAAGGCTTGCTGAGTCGGACTCCGACCACTCACGCTTTTTCCAAGCAAAGCCGGAACCCTTCAAGCCACATTATCAGAGTTGAAGCCCAAACCGCAATCGCAAAGAGAGGCCACACCTAGCAATGGGAGTTTTTGCTAACAGAACTGTTTAAGCCCTTATGGCGAAGACTCAGTGCCGCTCACAAGCAGCTATCGTAGTGATGAAAACTGAGCACAGCGATGGACCACTAACGCCACTGCCACGAATCTCGCCAAGATCCCAAGCCGGGTCCGAGCTCTGCTCCTTGTTTTGCCAAATGCAAGAAGTTTCGATGGGTGCTTTATCGGTCTCTGTATCTCTGCAACGCCACCACGGTGGCCTCAAGCACGAAAAGCACACAAAATCACCTAAACCACGAAAAACACACACAAGGCACGACATGCACACGCAACACATAGACAAAGCAGCAAGTACATCAAGCATATCAGAAAGCTCACACTCGACGGGGGATCCCGGGCAACACACGACCTAACTGTGCAGAGACACAGGTTGCCCGAGCTGCGGTATACTCCAAAGACTTCTCTGTAACCGTCGTAGCTTGTTTTAGGCAGGGATTTCTCAGCTGCTGGCCAGTAACAGTAAAGAAGGAGTGCGACACATGCAAACTGATTCAGAGGTTTCCAAGACAGCAAGGAGATGGTTCTGTGTTGCTCAGACCCGCAACCAAAAGAAGCAGGTTGCCCTGCATTTTCCGTAAACAGCAAAACGGAGATCTATGTTGCTACGGACTGGATACGAGAACTGCCCATGGCACCAGTTGAGCTCTACACATGGGCCCTTCAATTTGTTTACCGGGATATCACGACTGTTATTACTGGTACCCCTACCACCGCCACCACCACAACCAGGCGAACAACAGCTACTCCTGCGTGCAGAAACTATCCTTGCAGCCCTGCTCGAGGACCAGGGCACCAGCATGACTCCGATTCTGGCAGAGAGGGCGATCGCGAGCCCTTTGAGCATGCCGCCTCCAAGCACCAGCAGTGCTGCTGTGCAAGCCACCGACTTCGTGGGCGAATCTGAATTTCTGCATCAGTTCGCCCAGGACCTGCTTCAGCCATGTACATTGCTTCATCATCTTGCTTCTGTGGTCGGACACCGCTTTTGAGGAGCCTGTAGCAGAAGATCTTCTCACGAGAGACTGTCAAGCGCAGACGGAACCACTAGGCTCGAAGCCGCTCGGCGCCGGGCATCGAAGGGCTGCGTTTCTGCGTTTCGCAGGTCCGAGGAAGCTTTCCAAGTCCCGAGACCAAGAGCTCTTGGCCCAGAACCAGTTTGCGGATGTCTCACCGCAAAATGCTTCCTTTCCCAAGGCCACCCCGACTGCAGCGAACGCAGAAGGGGATGCCAGATCCGAGTAAGAGGACGGCATTCACTGTGTCTGCCTGCGAATTATCCTCGTGGAGTGCACAGCTATCCCAACGAGAGGCAATCAAGTCGCTGGGCAATGAAGGCACAGACCACGAGTCGGTTGTTGGTGTGCCAGTCTCTCCCCGCAGGGTTTTTGCCGCTGCAGGATAACGGGCTGCCGACTGTTCTGAAGGACAGGGGAATGCTTGCGAGGAGTCGGGGAGCATGGGGCTTGGAGGATTTGGCCCAAACAGTGTCGGCACGGCGTCACTCCAAGGACTGAGCTTTGATGCTCACGTCTGTATTCTCCGGAGACGATGCGAGGGTATTCACTAAGATGCTCCGAAGGAGACGGCTGGCCAGAGGGAGGGCCAGGGCCCCCGCAAGGAAAGTCCCCACAAGCAGGGTGCCCAAAGCCGGCACCAGAATCCACGGCCTCAGCAGGTGGGAGTCTCAGCACCGGCCCCCCCCCACACCCCCCAAAAAGCTCGGGAATCCTTTTCCGCCAGGGCCAGGGCCAGGGCCCTCCTCGGGTTGCATCGGTGGACGCAAAGGACTTCGAAGAGTGTCCCGGGGCTCAAGTTTGCCGCAGACACAGTCACAGTGTCACAGCGGTTGCAGGACCGTCCGCTGTCAATCTTCGCAAAGCGACAAGCAAGCCAATCCCCGAAGGAAGAGGACCGCAGCCGAGTCGGTAGGCGCTTCCTAGTTCCTCGCGGTCGAACTTGAAGGAGCCGGTGAAGCCGAAATCGGCAACCCCGTCTCGAGAGGAGAAGTCTTGAAGTCGTAGCTTGAATTGCAGAGCTGCTATGCGGCTGTCAGCCAGCACCAGCTAAGCAGAAGGAGCGGTCGCCAGACCGGCAGCAAGATCGCCAACGGCAGGATGGGCTCCTGCGATCGGAAGTGCTGTGCTTGAGCTTAGAACACGAGATGGAGGACCATGCTTCTTCGGCTCCAGCACAGCGCGGGAGACAGTCAAACTCACCTAAGGCCGAGCTGCTGCCTCTCCAGTGTCCAGCCCTGCAAGACTCTGCAAGACATTGCTTCGCCGCGAGACGTCATCCGCCCGACGGAGTCGAAGCGATGCAGATCCAAACCGGGACAAGGACCTTCCTGAGGCCGTTTCTGTTTCTTCCGTGCTATTCTGCGCTGCATGACGGCTATATGTTTGGGTCGGCTAGAACGGCTGGATTCAACGGTTCCCCGCTCCAGAACCACACCACCCCATCAGATTGCCACAGGTCGACTTGTTCCAGATACCCGAGCAGCTGCGAGAGGTGCCGGAAGAGTCTCGAACAGTCTCAAGATGAAGTTCTTCAGCCTGCAAGCTGCAAGGCTCGCCGTCGTACATCTGAACTCGAGGACCGCTGATGCAGATCTGGTTTTCGCAAGAAGACAGTGTGTTTCCTGTTTCCTCTTTCACTGTGAAGAGGCGCAGTTGGCAGAGCTGCGGCAGTGCTCCCTGCTATTTTGGATGTGACCACCACGAATCATGTTTGTGATTTGATGGCCAGGCGCTTGCAACAACAGGAACATCGTGTGCTGGTCCGGGGTTCAGTCGCAGCTGCATGTTTGGGGACGCTGACTGCAGTCGAGCTTAGGCAGCTGCCCCATTCTTCCCGCCGCCGCGGGGAGCAGTGCTGACTCCACCTCCAGCTTTCTCGGCACGAGCACCTGGCGACAGAGCAGTCTTCTGTTCAACGACTGCTCCGGTCTCTCCATTGACAACAGACCGCGTTGCACCAGAGGCCAGAAAGTTTATGTCTCTGCAGGTACCACCAGGTGACAGAGATCACAGAGAGCGTGAGGACCCAGCTGGCGACAAGCTCGTTTCTCCGCTGGTCAGTGCACGCAGTCGAAGCCCGCAGCGACAGCCTTTGATGGAGCCTTGGATGGCCCGCTCACAAACTCCGCCAGCCAGGTCAGATGCGCAATTGATATATTATCGCCAGGCCTATTTCCCTTCACGGGAGTCTTTACCAGCACCTCCGAATTCAGTCCGGATGGTATCACCCACGCCAGTGACACCGGTGCCAGTCCTTGGCAATCCACCAGCGATTGTCCAAAGGTACAGTGTCACAAGTCCAGTTCGAGTTGGAGAGTGGCAGAGGCGAGTTCAGCCAACTACCACCTTCTGGTTTCAGCAGCCGTTTGTGGCCAGACAAACTGCGCCACCTTCGGGACATCCAGGACCGGGTTCACTCAACGAGCCAGTGGGGCCACCTACAACAGGACAAGCTCCACTGGCCCAAGATGCTTTACCTGCCTCAAGCGACAGGCGCTCTAGCTTTCGTGCGGGCTGCTGAATCTGAAAGATGCCATATAACAATAAGGACCCTGAGTTCAGGGGCACGACATCCCCGGACCGCAATCTTAGACTATCCTCGGCACCCACACCTACCCACACGCATATATATATATATATATAAATATATTACTATTTCTGCACAGATTTTTATTTATCGGTTCATCTATTTAAAGATTTTGTCGTGCAGGCATATCTTTACCATGCTAGATATTTCAATAAGATATGAATTCCTTTTAATGAGAATTAATCTCATAAATTTTAATTGGGTCTAATAAGATTTTTTCGATAAGATTTTTTATAATAATTATAATTTGTAATAATTAAGAATTATATATAGAAAATTTATAAATTTGAAAATTATTTTTCGAGGGTCTCTATAATTAATTAATGATTTGTTCACAGAGATTTTATTTTGGATAGTATTAGGTTATTATTTTTTATCGAATAGGAAATATAAGATATTCAGAATAGATTTAATATATTTCTTTCATATAATGATTATAATATAATTTTTACGCATATTATATTTTCTTAAATATATGAATGAAAATAAGGGATTTCGAATTATTTGAATTAAAATATTTAAAAATAATATTAAATTAAAATCTATATTTTATTTTTTTATTT